ACACACTTTTTTCCTTTCCGCAAGGGACGTTAGCTAACTGAGTATAATAAAAATCTTCCTTCTTGGTTATCTCCTCTTACACTCGTTAGTCGACTCCAGGGTTTCTCAAACGACATACCGGAGACCCCCCCCCCCCCGCCCACCTCGCACAAATTTTTAATGACCAAAAGACTACCCGGGAAATCTGACCATCACGGGATATCCCGGGCAATCCCGGGCACAAACTTTTAGGATAAAATTTTTTCTTTAAAATATTTTTTTTTAAAGATCTCAGCTAAACACAGTTGGTCACAGATTCTCACAAATGGTCACCGGTTGTCACAGATTGTCACTTTAAGCCAGGAACATGCACATCTTGTCTGCTGCACCTCTAACACACAGGTTCTCAAGCGTGACAATCCCCACCGGTAAAATTCTTGGAATTAAAAGCACATCAAAACAAGATCATGTTCAGTACAATGTAATGGTCATTAACGACATATTTAATGCCGTGATTGAGAACTTAACTCAAACTTTAAAAAAAAGAATAAAAAGAAAACTCTTTGAAACTCACCATTTCTCTCACCATTTCTCTCACCATTTCTCTCACCATTTCTCTCACCATTTCTCTCACCATTTCTCTCACCATTTCACTCACCATTTCTCTCACCATTTCTCTTACCATTTCTCTCACCATTTCTCCCACCATTTCTCTCACCATTTCTCTTAACATTTTTGGTTCCAGCCGGATGCCCACACAGAACTCCATCTGCGAACCCATTTGAGGCCGCGTCATTTTATTTTTTGAACCCCTGCTCTAGCATCTTGACTCTACCAGATTCAAAATGGGATTTAGAACTACCTTTAGATATTTTTTTTTTTTTCATACGCCCAAAGTCAACCTAGTTGGACATACAGAGGTCCGAGTCTTAACGGATTTTATTGGTATTTTTGTATTCAACCCGGAGCGCTTTTGACAACCTGTTTGGACACGTTTACTTGGGATTATTTCCTAACGGATTTGAAACTAAAGGTTTTAGACCCCCAAAGAACGCAATCCTCATATAAGGCTGTCAAGGTTTTGTCCAAAGGCTGTCAAGGTTTTGTCCAAAGGCTGTCAAGGTTTTGTCCAAAGGCTGTCAAGGTTTTGTCCAAAGGCTGTCAAGGTTTTGTCCAAAGGCTGTCAAGGTTTTGTCCAAAGGCTGTCAAGGTTTTGTCCAAAGGCTGTCAAGGTTTTGTCCAAAGGCTGTCAAGGTTTTGTCCAAAGGCTGTCAAGGTTTTGTCCAAAGGCTGAGTGGGGCCCTGGGTTGAGTGGGCCCCTGAGTTGAATGGGGCCATGGGTTGAGTGGGGCCATGGGTTGAGTGGGGCCCTGGGTTGAATGGGGCCATGGGTTGAGTGGGGCCCTGGCTTGATAAGGCCAATTCAACACAAAAATAACCAACCCGGTTGAGGCGCAGCGTCCATCAAATTTATGCCACAATTAGTGCTAGTAAAATAAGTGTAGCCACAATGGGCGTGCTACCTACGCCCCCTTTTACTAACCAGTTACGACCTCTTCCTCGATTACGACCTGCCCAGCGTACGTAAGTGGAACCTGATGGGGGGGGGGAGAGTGGGGGAGGGGCGGCATTTGTTCACGTTGCTTAAGAAAGTACACCTTTGTCAAAAGCCCTGTTCACAACTCTACTTTATCTTTATCGCCATCATTGTGGCACGACCGCTAACTCTACCCACAGCAACAGGTAAGGGGAGGCTAATCACGTGTAAATAACCATGTCATATTATTTCCCCCCCATATCCCCCCCCCCCCCCCCCCCCCCCCCCCACCCCGCCCCTCCCCCCACCGCCCCCCCCCCCCCCCCCCCCCCCCCCCCCCCCCCCCCCCCCCCCCCCCCCCCCCCCCCCCCCCCCCCCCC